TATATTATATGCTATAGTATGTTATAAAGATTATAAAATATAATAGATATTTATAATATTACTATGTAAGAAAAATATATATTAATAGAATAAATATAGAATACAATGTACAATTTACTAAATTATTTTATATAAATATATATTATATAATAAATTAAATAAATAATACATTATTTGTTATATATATATATATATATATATATATATATTAAAAATAAATATTATATATTTCTATTTAAATTATTATCTATGTAAATATAAATATAAGATATTTACCATATATCCCAAGAGTTATTAAACACATAAACTATGAACTTCTTAACCTCCCAAAGAGGTTATCAAACACATAAACCTTGAACTTTTCAAATAATTTCTAATTTACAGTTTTTTAGTAACTTCCAATTTTCAGTTCAGGTTCTTACTTCCTGTTATCAAACACGCCCTAAACGTAGGACAAACTAACTAAAAAAGCCTACAAAGCATGCAAGATAATAACACAGGAGCACAAAGAAATATAACGATAAAAAAGTCACATAACCCTTTGAGACTAGAAAACTATAGGGCAGATAAATCCACTAAGTAATTAAAACAATTTCTTTCAGTTTAAAAGATGTAATAAATAAAGCGTAAGCGAAAAGTAAACAATTTGAAGTCCCATAAATGGGCCCCGTTGTTACAGTGGCCTCACTATTGATCCAAGTAGTGATGGTCTGAGAGGCAAGAGCTCAAGTATTGATGCATGCCCTTTTTTTTATCCCATTGCCATGCGCTTTTGCAACTGCCTCTTAAATTGAATAAAAAGCATGGGAGCCGAGGACTGGCCTTCCCACCATCATCCAGCCTCTCATAATTGAGGAATATAACTTCCAACACCCACTTTTCACTAGTGTTTTGGGCTTTATATTGACCTTAGTAAAAACCTGGGTTACAGGATTATCGACATTAAAAGCAAATAATCTTCCTCTTTTTTTTTTTCTTTTTTTTTTTGACCAATGTTCTTATTTTTTATCGATGATTACAAAAAAAAAAATTACACCATCAGAAATACCAACTGAGGATAAAGAAGCACCACCCTTAACTAAAGGGTCAGCTAGTAAAGCAAATAATCGTTCTCGGAAGTGGAAGTAGCACACCATGCCATTGCTGCAAGCCACCTTAAGGGGTCTAATGTATAAGTCCAACTACCGGAGGGGTTTCTTTGAGTTCAGAAGGTCAGGGTGAGAAATGCAATAGGATCCAAAAATATCACAGACCTTTAAGACAACAACAATGGATGGAGACGGTGAGAGAGTTATGAGAGGACCCGACACCGCGTTAACAATGGATGGAGACGGTGAGAGAGTTACGAGAGGACCCGACACCACGTTTTGCAAATGCGCCCAAACCTGCGTATAGAATTCACAGGAAGAGCTAACAAAATTCGCTCCAAGACATCTTCACATACTGTGACACTATGTTGGGTCCCCCACATGCTCTGCATCTCTTTGCGAATGTCTTCATGAATAACCAGAGAGCTGCTGGTCTCTGGAACTTAATCTAGTCTTTTATTTCTTTTACATACTCTCTTATCATCCTTCTTGGTTACTATATCACCTTTTCGTTTCCCCATGGCTAAAGATAGTGGTAGATGAGGAAGGAGCTATAGACCGATTCTCTCTGTAAAAACAGTGATTGGATCGAGAGAGAAAGAAAGACAGGTCTCCCTTTAAATGAGTGGAAGTTTGTAGATAGAGAACTCAATATGAGAGATACCATGGGAATTTTGGGTTATTAGTAGAGGGGAGTATAAGGAAAGAATTCCAATTTCAATTTATATTCCATTAGGAAAGTAAATAAGATGGATTCTATCGTTCCTTTGGGATTATTTCAAATAGAAATAACATAGAATAAAGATTATGCACTACACTATTCCATCTCATCTCTCTTCTCTCCCTCTATGCTATATCTTATATGTATTATATCTCAATTAATAATGGATATGATAGGGAATGGGGTTGAGGTTGTGACTACTTGAGCCCCAGTTATTGGTTTGGTTTAACGGGTAGGGGCCTGTATTTAAATAAAATAAAAACGGGTAGGGCCCTGTATTTCCCACTTACCCAAAATAAAATAAAATAATAAATATGACACAAGATAAAATAAAACAAAATAATAGATATGATGCAAGAAAGGGGCTGGGGTTGTGGTGGTAGAATCCCCACAATTTGTTACCATATTGTGATAGTATATCGACATTACTACACTTTGTTACCACATTGTGATAGTATATCTACATTACTAAGAGTACACATGCAAGAGGCTGTATATAGTATATCGACATTACTAAGAGTACACATGAAAGACGCTGTATATTTTGAGCCCAACAATCCGGATTCAATCTGAAATAATCTAACGGCCACGACCCTATTTTGTATTTTAATTTTAATTTTTTTGTACTGCTCCAAATCACTTGAAATTTTGGCATGTGTTCTTTAAAAATAGGAGAATACAAGAAATAAAGTGACTAAAATACCTCCAAAATTTTGTAGAAGTATTTTGATGAATTTATTTATTACGAATTAATTTTGAATATTTTTCTTAGGTGCACTTGATGAGAAGAATAGATGCCTAAAATGTCACGAGATTTGGATAAATAGAAAAAAGTTAAAATTAAAAGATGAAATGAAGTCGTAACTATCAGATCATCCCATATTGAATCTGGACCATTGGGTTCATATGTAGCTATGAGCTAGTGGGCTTACACTAGGTTTTTTTTTTTTTCTCTCTCTCTGTCTCTCTATATATATATATATATATGTATGTGTGTGTATGTGTGTGTATGTGTGTGTGGGAATGGGGGGTTATATATATATATAACGCAATCAAATTTCTAGATAATCATGTTTGTGGCATTTGTACGTCCTCAAATTTTGCATACACACATTCTTCATCCCAACCATCAATTTCAAAAAAAGAAAATTCAATTTGTACCCTAAATATGATTAAAATGAGTCCTTTCTAGTAATGAAACTAAACCATCTAGTGGGTGAAATTTTTTTTTTTTTAAACATTGTTCATCTAATGAAAATAAAGTCATTTAAAAGTTTGGAGA